GGGGGAGGGGGTCAAGAAGGGTAGGATATAGTCGCTGGGCAAAGGGATGGTATTTCGAATCGAAGGAAGGTCGAACCAAGGACGAAGGTCAATAACGTACCCTATATAATTCTCTATCGTATGGGGAATCCCCTTATGCTACCCTTAACTGATAACCTTACTGAAAAAGGTTTAACCTGCAGAGATAGTGCGATAAGGGTTGTAATAGATTCGAAGTCGATGGCAATAGAAAGAAAAATTATTATGCGCAACGGAATAACGAAATTGGACTACGCCAATGTTCACGAGTGACAAGTGAGTGATGACGGAGAGTGACAGGCACCGATAAAGAGTGTGAAATAACAAGAGAGAGAGAGAGAGAGAGAGAGTGTGTGTGTGTGCGTAATTCCGTATACGTCCGTCTGACGAGAGTCTCGGCGTGCTTCTCTTCCGCGCAAATATCCAATCGAGGATCTTCGCAAATTTTCGGTACGGCTCGCGCACGGGCTCTCCCGGGCTCTCTGGGAGGCTGGCTCAGTGTCGAGCGTGCTGCCTGGACCGCAAGGCGCCTTTCCACGAGAGAACCGTTCCCCTTCCCCTTACGTTCGTAGTACGTGCTTTCCCGAATACTCTCTCCTCTCCCCACCACAGTCGCTACCTCTCCTCTCTCTCTCTCTCTCTCTCTCTCTCTCTCTCTCTCTCCCTCCCTCCCCCTCTCTCTCTTTCTCTCTCTTTCTCTCTCTGGCCTCCCTCTGTCCATCTCACTCTATATTACTGTATCTATCTCATTTACTCTATAGAGATCCTTTTCCATTTTCCGGCTCTCTCTCTCTCCTCTCTCTTTCTCTTTCTCTTTCTCTCTTACTCTCTTCATTTCCCTCTCTGTTATCTCTTTCTCTGTCTACCCCTTCCATCTACTCTTCTTCTCTTTCTCTCTCCTTCGCTCATTCTCCATTCCTCTTTCTCGCTCCTAGCTCCTCCGTTCCGCCAAGCCAGAGCTTCGTACACTCTCGTTCTCCTCTCTCTCTCTCTCTCTCTCTCTCTGTCTCTCTGTCTCTCTGTCTCTCTGTCTCTCTCTCTCTCTCTCTCTCTCTCTCTCTCTCTCTCTCTCTCTCTCTCTCTGTTTCACCCTCGCACTCCTGGCACGGTCGAGCCGAATGGACAGCAGTGAGTAAAAGTGCCGGGGAGCCCCGAGCGGGAACCTACCGAACGTCCTCGTGTCCAGGACAGTACGCGGCTGCCGTTCGTGATTCGTGGGAAAACATGAGGACAGGAGTAATCAGGTGGGAAATCGAATCGGAAACTGTGTTGCCCATTAGTCGCCGTCGCTCGTAGCATCGACGCAACTCGCGAGCCCGGGAGGCTCCCGTTGCACCGCGGTGAATCAAGTGGGACGTTCGCGTTCTCGTCGGTGTCAACCATCGAGAAATGTAATAGCGCCTCAAGGACAAGAGGATCCCACGTACGTGTTCAAGGAGCTATGCTGTCCCATGCTGACCCGTAGACCGGAGGCTCGGCGTGTCGCTCATTTCCGTTAGGTTAACCGATGAAGCTGGACCTCGCGGAAGAGGAGAATAAAAACAAGGCTCGGAGGAGGAAGACGGGCTGATAAGGTAGTCGGGGAGAGGTGGTGGCAGCCGAAGGGACCGTCGAGGTGGTCGTCGGGCTGGAGGAGGAGGAGGGAGAGCACAGAGAGAGAGTAAGAGAGAGTGTGAAAAAGGGAAAAGGTGAGCAAGAGGAGGCCAACGAAGAGAGCGGTAATGATCGGGAGTACGGTGGTGCGGACAAATGAACACCTCGGCACAGCGTTTGGGCTATTCCAAGTAAGTGAGCATGGCCCCCTGTACCTCTCTTTACGCGACAGATTTAACCGCGTATTTTCTCTTATCCGCAACGCATCTTCATTCTCTTGTATGATCTTTTAAACGAGTGCACGCGGTACACGGTTACATCCGTCACTCGTGTTCGTATTAAGGGATGTCTTTCTGGGGTTTATATTTCGACCTTCATTTTTTTTTTTTTCCTTTTCCCCACCATTTTCATTTCCATACCAGTCTATCGCACTGTTCTCCGGTATCCTTCGGGTAACGAGGGTAACGCCAGGAAATGCGTACGTATATTCCTGCAGGAAAAGGAGTCCCTACAGCCGGTGCTCTTCCGGCTTTTAATCGGAATGTCGGCACGTATCGCGAATATCAGACAACCCTTGTATATGCCTGTGTGTGAAATATATATATATATATATATATACATAGGAGTATCAGAGACAGGTCCATATGTATATCAGAGAGACGAGAATGAGCTGCTGAATTTCAGCGAGAAAGTGCGCCCGGGATGAAATCCAGATAAGAGTGAGTAGCGTATGTGGTGAGAAGAAAGAAAATATAGAAACGAGAGAAAGATAGATGTATAGAGATGAGAGAGTGGGGAGAAGAGGACTCGCGAGGGAGAGGGGGAGAGAGAGAGAGAGAGAGAGAGAGAGTGGTCGCAAATGGTGGCGGCATCGGGAAAGGAACAATGGCCGGGAGGTAGTGAAAAGAGAGAGAGAGAGAGAGAGAGAGAGAGAGAGAGAGTGGTCGCAAATGGTGGCGGCATCGGGAAAGGAACAATGGCCGGGAGGTAGTGAGGAGCCACAGTAGGATGGGATGTAACTGCTCTTATTTTTTCTCGCTGCCGCAGCTCACGGAAAACAAAAGACGATCCGACATCAAACATTCAAATTAGAAAACTCCCCGTAGCCGAGCCTGCGGATTACCTCCGCATTAAATCCCTATAGAACGTAGATGGATTTCTCTCTCTCTCTCTCTCTCTCTCTCTCTCTCTCTCTCTCTCTGTTTATCCTTTTCGATGCATTGCTCTCAAGCGCCAGACGTTACACGCGTGTTTCCGGCATTTGTAAAGGGGAAACCTGAAGAACCGAAAGTCGCGTCGGTGGTTACGACATAGAAATCGACCTACAAGTTTAAGGTTAAATTAATTTTATTTTGCTGGCTAAGAGACTCAGACATTTGCAAGGGTACCCTATAACCCTCTTTACATTACTTAGCATATACGTATCTTTTGGGTCTCATATTTTCTTTCCCTCTCGCTTCTCTTGATTACGTTTCATTTAATTTCAGTGACTACCAACCGTCGTCCAATTCCTCCGGGCGACTATCGAACCGTTCAATCGAATAACATTATTTTTCCGGCTACGGCTCTACAGTCAGCAGCCATCAGGCTCCGTAGGTTATGGCGAGCGTGTGGAGAGCCTCGTTCGCTTTTAAAAAAATACCATTCGCCAAAGATCCGCAACACAATGTACGAGCGCCGTGGATGTTTCTGTTCTTGGCGCTGGCGGCGGTGGGTCGGAGGGGGTGGCGGGGGTCCTACCCAGAATCGGAAAAGGAAGATTTTTATTATTTTTCCAATAACCGGTGGCTGAAGAGCGAGAGGGGGAAGACGGATAGCAAGATAAAGAAAGGGAACGAAAGAGCGTGCAAGGGATTGGAAGGACGTCAGTCAGGATTGACTAACGCAGTCGGGCCAGCGGCGAGCGTTAACCCAATTTCGAATTAATTAAACGAGATTTCGTTAAACACGCTCTCGCCCTTTGAGAATCGACGGCAAACATCCTCGAGGCTTGTCGAGGTTGTGGATATCGCCTAATAGAGTCCCATCGTGCACTCCAGTACCGTAGCAAACACTCCGGAGGGTGTCTATCTCTTGATCAAGAGAACCTGAGCCTCCGCGTGTACGCGTAACAGGAAAATTATTATCTTGTACAAAATCTATTTTCACCTATTCAAATCTTCCCGCATACCATTACCTCGACCGTATATCACGAATCGACGTAGCCTCTTAACTATCAGCGAACCCGTAGATCATAGGCTTTTAGTATTTACCCGATACATCCTGTACGTGAAACAAATCCCATTCGACTTAGCAGGAATAAATCAAGTGCAGGAAACTTGGGGTAATTCAGTGTGCATTCCGCGTCGGAGAATCTCGAAATCCATTTCTGTATAGTATTTCTGGAATTTCACGAGGATTTTCAGTAACCTTATGTTTTCTCTTTCTTTCCTTTTCGCTCCTTCCGTTTTAATCTCGACCTGCCGCGCCCAGCCAACCACGATTCACCCAGCTAGCATTCGTTTTTGATAAGACACCCTGAGCTCTTGTATTACCCCTGTAGCCCCCCTCTCGTTCAACCAACGAATTTTCCACAGCTTTCAACCCCTTAACCGCTCTTCTTCCAGTGCACGACAACGTCCTCGTATCTCAGCCCCGGCCTATGCTCCAACTGAGCGTGAGAACGTGAGGAAAAGTAAGCCAGGAGAATGCACTGGAAGTAGGGACAGCGGTGGAAGGTCTAGTAAGGAAGGAAACTTTAGTCTTCTCCTCCGCAAAGTAGGACCAAGTTTGTACCTCGTGGTCGGGATTACCGAGTTGCCAGTAAAATTTCTAAGAAGGAGACGAATAAATAACGAGCGAAATTCGTACACGAAGCTCGACACCCGCATCGGTAGACCCGTAAGAAAAATTAAACTCGAATTTCACCTCCGAAGGCAACTCTTAACAGAGATATACAATCCGAACGATACCTCGTATTAATTGATCCCGCAGGTGCGTCCAACTAATTTTGCGGTTAGGTCGAGCCGGGATGATAAAAAAGTTACAGGGAGTGACTAATAGCCACTATCTCTATAGATGGGAGGTACGGATGTGTGTAGTTTGAAAAAGCACCTTCGTCCTATCCCCCGATTAAAAATTACCTTCGACTTCATTTTTTTCTCAGTCGGCCGCCACCTATGTTACGTATTCCCTTTATGTATATCTGTATATGCATAGATATACTTTCGCACGAGCGTCCATACGAACCAGAAGGGTAATAGGCGCAATGGTAGTAGTGGTCCACCAACTATTCTGACTTTTTTTTCAGCGGCCCGCGGCGTTATTTAAGCCCGGCCCGACGAGTTCCTTTTTTTTTTCTTTCTTCTTCGTCTCCCTCTTCTCTCCTCTCTTCGACGACGCTGCGAAAAATAGCTCTCCCACTCTCGCCCACTCTCCTTTTTTCCCACTGGCAGAACCATCTCCAGTACCCAGCATCTCTCTCCTGTCCACCGAGCCTCCTTTCTTACTCGGCTTTGTCCTCATTTTCGTTCCTACGTCTCATTCGTCCTTATCATCCATTCTTTTTACACCCTGTCCGACCACTGCGACATGGACGGGTTGTACATCTTGGAAGACCCCTAATTCACCCCTCGCCGACTTTCGTTGCGTCCTTGCGACCTCGTCCTCTTCCTGCGCGACAGCGACGTCCTGTGTCGGTGGCTGTAGAAAATATCTCTTCCTCTTAGAGCTCGCTGAGTCTCTATTATGTATATAACTACGTGCCGAGTGTATATCTATGTATATGAATTAATGAGGGAACCCACTTCTCTTTTGTCTAATTCTAATGGTATTACAAGCAAGCCCAGTACCCTATCTAGGAGCGTGTGCGGGAGTGATGGCGTCGAAGAGTAACTAGAACCCCTTAGCCACCTTGTTTACTGCAGCAATCACTCGCGTACCAACCATCCTCTCGCGCCAAAATACATTTCCCTCCAGCATCTTGAACGCTGGCCTGGTTAGAAAGCTCGTTACCGTTATTGATATTCCGGTAGCGGTAAGTAACGCCGTTCGTTACGCCATGGAAACTTTTCCGCCAGCTCATACCCGGTAAAGCGCCGCATCCTGACCAGGAGAAGAATGCGAAGCACAAGACCAGATCAGATAATCAGAATAAACTCGAAAGATGAGAATGAACCGACTACCCTGTATACCCGAGAACAAAACGGGTCCATACAAAGTATCCAGATGTAACCAGACGCACGATGTTAAAAATGACGGTGGGTAGCTACGTCGAGTAAGAATAAGTCAGACGGAGCGGCAAAGGGCGACAAGGGGCAAGGGGGTGAAAGAGGTTTTGTTCTCAATCTCCAACGGAGTGAGGAACGCGGCTGGTACTAAAATCTCTCGGTTTTTTTTATCGATTCGAAAACAACAGGAGCACTCAGTTTTGTACGAGTTGCGTGTCCCATTGAGCGTGCAGTTTTCCAGTACCGCGTCGAGTGCAACGCTGGCAAGTTGGATGGGTCCCAGGCTGCTTGTAATCATGAGGAGAGAGTGAGATAACCGAGAGGAGGAAAAGAGAAAGAGAGAAAAATGCGAAATGCAACTCTACGGGAAAAAGGCTTCTTCTTCGAAGGCTCAGAAACAAGGGAATGGGCTTTTTTGGTAGGGTAGGGAATAAGGGCGCAAGTGCTGATGATGGCTGCCGCTCCTGTGGCTTCCGTTGCTCAGGGAATTCCCAATATTTCCTAGGTGCACTCCTAAAACGGGTCGGTTAATCCTACGGATTTTTGAATTCCAGACGTATCACGAAGACTCCGGTTCAGCCGAGTCGTTCTTCCGTTTCTCTTCAGGCTTTTCCCACTATGGCTTCTACCGTTCCTCTCGTCAGCTATAACCTCTGGCTACCTACCTTTTACCTGGCTGACTGTTGATCTCGGCTTCACGGCACTCTCTTATTGTACCGCATCGATCTGTGCCATCGGGAATCGTAAGGTCTGTTTACGATAGGTCAATCTGCCTGCTGACCCACGTTGTGCTTTGATCGACGTCGAACAGACTCGTTCGATTCGAATTAGCCCGTGGCGGTGTATACGTCGCCAAATTGAACTCTACGTATATGTATCTAGGTATACAGGTATAAAGCTGTACCTATCTGTACCTACCTTATGGACGATTAGAAGACTTTGGAGAGGAAGCGAATCAGAGAAAATGAGAGGGACTGAGGTATTCGCCAATCTAGCCAGATCTATTATACATGAGGTTAGAGTTCGTATACTTTTAACCTATATTGTTTGCCAAACAACATTGCAAGTCCAATGCATACAAAATGACCCAGCTACTCTGTCAAAGTTGGACACACCCGCAGAACGATGTTCTACAGTGGATAGCAACGGCCAGATCAATTGTTAATAAATATTTCTATACGCGCAATTTACTGGCGAGTACCTGCTGTACAATGCTGTGTCGTATAACCTGTTCCTGCTTATTATAAAGACAGTTCAGGGATATTCTTCCATTCAGAGTTTTATGTCCCAGCGTAGCTTCTAGGCTTGTGCACTGGTATATGACTGCGTTTATGCTTTCTACTGAAATCGGTTACTTACTCGTATCGGTACAATCGTTCGCAATTTGTAATCTTTACCGATATAAAATCGACTCCTGGAAACAGGACTTGCTTGGTTACCACAGGGGTATCGACAATGTCTCACGTCTGCATATAATTTCCTGCCGTACCATTGTGAAACCAATGTGCACCAGGACAACTTTTCCCTGTGGTAGTTCCTTCAGATTCCCCAGCCAATACTCCTCGATCGTTCCAGCTGGACTTGTGATATACGCTATATATGTATATATATATATGTATATATATATGATTTACCTCAGTCCATTGCTCGTTCACTGAACAAGGAATCTTTTTCATATTTCTATATCTATATAGAACATTTCTTTTTCTTCTCCTCTTTTATCGTTATTCGTATTGGATTTATATTCTACCTGTATACGGTATCTCAATAAAGGCCTAATTTTAGGTTCAAACCTTGGTTCAGCATGCGTTTCAATTTTAAAACCTTGGGCTATGAAAAAATTCCTCAATTTAATTAACGAAGCTAATAAGGTGGGTGTAGAATTCTTTTTTGATTTTCAGTCGATATTGCGTCCCGTGTATTTTCACGTTCGTTCACGTGATCGTCCAACCAGTAACAGTAAAACAGTCGCCGAGTGGGATTGGATGAGATATGTATTTTTTATTCGCAGAGATGTGAGGAATGATCACGTGGGTTATGGTCGGGCTGCTCCTGGCTGCGGAAACTACCTGCGGCAGAAATGTCCTGTCCGGAAACGGAAATGGCAAGGATGACCCCAAGCAGAAAGTGGCACCCCCTGACGAGGAGGAGATCTATCGTATGTATCATTCAGCGCGAATATTCTCTTTTAGAGCAAGTTGTCTTGTTAGGTTAGGAAAACCTAGCTATTCTAACGTCTAATGAGGATCTGAATTATTTGATACAGTAGTATATCTATATGGCCGTTCTACAAAGTAGATCTTTGATGTTGATATGGAGCAATGCAGTGGAACAATAGAGAAAATCATAATAGAAAATCCACTCGGGGACAAACAGTGCAATATATGTATATATATGCGTGTGTGCGCAGTTACGTACAATTGTACGAAGTATAAACTTTGACTCTGGACAATAAACTGTTGTGATATATGAACTGTAATTAGCTAGTGTATTCGCAGTAAATCTACTTAAAATCTCGGGGGTTACGAAAATGTTTGTTGTTTGAAGGATAATAAAAATTGTGAAAATGCTGGGAGGAGCTGGATATCTTGTTGCAACTCTCTCGACTTATGGGGCTCTTAGGTCTATATAGTTACTGATATCGGTTTGTAATACGGGGAATCCTTTGTTCTCCTTTTATTGGGAAACAGGGCCCAGTGCCAATTTGGACCGTGAGCCCTCTCAAGAGAAACTGCGATATTTCATTTTCGAGGAGGAAACTTTGTTATATTTAGAACCTGTGAAAAATCGTGTCGATCACGAAATAAATTACGTCTTCTGAATCACGTCAGATTACAAAATGTCATTTTTCTTAATTAAATTATTTTATCGGGTATATTGGTTATCTGGGGAAAAAATGTTATCGTGTAAATAAAAGAGCAGTGATGGAATTGTCAGTCAGTACGGAATAAGCTAATTTTTAGGTATACAATTTGATATATTTAAATAGGATATTAATAACCACGTAACCAAAAATAATGAAATTTATAATATTGTATGCATAACTGATATTTGGTTATAATAATATCATTGGATATAGATATGGACCGCTTGTGTCTGTATCAAAAGGTTTGAAAAGGGTTAGAAACAGAGTAAAGTAATTATTTTGATGATGGAAAATGTTTTGTTAAAAGGAGCCAATTTTATAAATGCATCCATGACCTGTTTTTGTTTTTTGCCATAGGTCTGACATGCTACACTTGCGTCAACGTCAGCGATAACCAGGTATCGACACAATTTTATTAAGCTCAAAGAGGCTCCCGTTCACTTGGCTCGCGATTGTCTCGTCGATCGGTGGATGGGAGTGATCAATAATCAGCAACCACTTTTAGTCACTCGTTTCTCGCTAATCGGCCATTTTCGTTCCCTCTTAGATGTGCAACGAGTGGGCGATAGACACGCCGTGTCCGGCAGGCGGACGGGATTTTTGCCGATCGCTGCACATTCTCGACAGCCGCGGGAACAGTGTCTTGGCAAGCAATTTTCTATTCCAGTGAAATTGTCTCCCGTAGTCTAGGATTAGTATTCCCTTTTTTTTCCAATAATCCCGATAGCCCAATAAATGACGGCTAATTATCGGCTTCTCTAAGATATCGGTTTGTTGGTCGTATCGATCGTTGGCAACTTCGAAAGGTATACCAATTCTTTACAATGGAAGAGCAACCAGCCATTTTAATTGGTTGACTGACTAACATGTACAGTATTCCATACCACCTGGATACTACGTACTAACCACACGAATTACCTATGTAACTGCCTCTAGTTAAAATAGCTATGCTGACATTATAACTGAAACATAATGACGCTATTAAGGTAAGCATAACTTTATTAACGAAGAATGGACTCTTTTCGAATAAAATCGTATTTCCCTCTCTACCTTACCGACCAATGGTAATGAGGTAATTTAAACGGAAACTAACCTATGAAGTAACATTGATTAAACGACCAACAACATCATATGTAAATTTCGATGTTAAATCTTTCTCACTGTCTCCCTTATTGAATGCTCAGGTGAGCAAGAGTTGCGCGAGCAGCGAGGAATGCGGACCAGCCTCAGTGGGCTGCGTCCCAGTCGACACGCAGAAGGTGCGAAATATCGAATTTTGCGATACCATGCTGGTGCCCCATAGCCCGGTGAATAAATTCGATTATTTCGTTCCAGATCTGCATAAGCTGCTGCGACGTGAGTTACTGCAACATGGAGTCCCCGACGAACTCTACGAACGCCATCTTCTCGCGGAAACGTCGAGCGAAATCGAAGGGTAAACGCAAGCGGCCAGGTAGAAATGGGGTTGATAGGCCCGGTCGATTTTACGGCTGCGTGTTCGGCCTCGCTGCGTCTCTCTTATATGCATATCATTGTTGAGGAGGAAGCCAAAGGTTGAGTAGGAGATATATACATACATACATAAATATATATATATATATATATATAACGTTATATATATATGTATATATATATAACGGGTAAAACCGTTAAAAAATGAGAATTAGAATGAACGGCGAAGGCTGCATTACGGTCGCGATTTGGCTTCGATGAAACAAAAGATTAAAGAGTATGAAAGAGAAAGGGCATGAGGGAAGAAAAATATTGGGGAAAAAAACAAACCGATCAATTAATGCAGTAGCAATTTTCAATTTTACTTGTAAGAGTTTATAAATTATGTTATAAACCAGGATGGTGAACTCACGCTACAATTTCTGAGCCCCCTCGATTCGTTGATGATGTTGATTGTGGGCTGATTTTCATGAATAAGTGTAGCCTCGGGACGAAACTTTCGCTTGGGGGTGTCGATATGAGGATAGAACGTTTATGGATAGAAGAATTCTAAGGAAGAATGCGAAATCCTTTTGTCGTTCGACGATGGAAATGTGTTATTTAATGAGACGCGTACCTAAAGCTATTAAACTATTGACTCGCCTACTACAGACTATTATTGCTATTACAATTATTACTATTATATATTATGATATAGATACTATACATTGTTTCGGCATTACGTAAAATACTGTTGGTAATGAAATAAAGAAAAATTATACTTCTCATTCGAGGACGTAACTTATTTAATAAAAGCAATCGATAAAAGTAAGATTGTGAGTTTGCATTAATTTTTGTTTAATATTAATTTGTTTCCTATTCGATTTTAGAGGGCAGCACTGGCCTTACGGAAGTGACGCTTGGCTTTATATGTTTCCATGAATTTCAATGTAAGAGCGTTCAAAATTATTTTTATATACACATTTTCTTAAACCTTATCGAAGATCGTACTAACAAAAATTATAATATTCGTGTATCACGGGAGATTAGACGTATCTAAAGTAATTTTAGAATCTGGTACTATTTTAAAGCACTAAGTATGTAAAACAACAGTAAGACACTCTAGTGGTGATATCATGAAACGGAACATAAAGACTTGCTCAGTCGTCACTCGTGAGTAACTCCCAGTACGCCAGTAGGCGCCACAGTGCATGGAACTTGCGCACAACTAAAATCTATATTAAAATGGAGGAGAAGAGTCGAGTTTCGGAACAGGAGTCTGAAAAGGACGAGATTATCGAAAAGGATGCCAAAAGCATGAGGTAAGCAAAGAAGGGGCATCGCAGGAAAAAGCGTCTTCAGTTTTGTACAATCTTCAAGAATCTATGATATAACCAAAAAGTCTAACCATCGTGTGTTCTGATTTTCCTCCGGTTGTACCGTTGATTCTGAACGAAGAATTAATGTGCGAGCATGAAACTAGTATAGTTAAATTTCACTTTTTGCATAAAAATTGAACCACTATATAATGTAGACTATGCAAAATGCAGCATCCGTAATATATACAGTCATTAATCTCTTATTAAAAGTTCTTACTGATCGTTCATGTTTCCTGACAGTAAACTTCGTGACTACATCGTGTCTAAAACACCGTATTCACTTATCGTAATTATTAAGTACTGGGACTTCCTAACTCATTTGTAATTACATTTTCTTTGAATCTATGCCTACGTTAAAGTTAATACCAATTTCCTGATGTACATATTACGAATGAATAACGTTGACGTCCATATTCACTAATTAACTAATACAAGAACTCTTGTAGGGACGCCTGTATCTTATTATGCTATCGTTACCTTAAAAAAGAGTAGTTAAATTGCGAGATGGCATTGTGACCCGTCTGATAGCTCAACGAAAAAATGTATAGTTTTTGGGGAAAAAAGCATAAAAATAATTTTATGCGTACACTGCTTTCGACAGTGTTATTAGGTAATATTTCTTTCTTGGGCGATTCTAATAGATAAAATACTGCACTATAACGAAACACTATTGACTGTCGACTTAACTCTCGAATAACCGGCGATAAGTTAGAACTTCTTCCTCGCTATTTTTAAATTCATTAATGCTTTGTAAGTTAGTATCGATCGGAAATGCAATTAACTGTAATTAAACTATACGACTAAAGCTCTCTGATTTTATTACCTTTAGTTGGGATACCTTTCCTATATCTATATAATCGATGTTCGTCAATGAGTATCAGTAAAAGATCATTTTATCGGGACTCTTATCTGTTTTATGTTATACCGTATAAAACAAATGCGATTTTCTCACCCTCTGCCAGCCAGATAGATTTAGTCTCGCACTCCTCGGGTACTAAAGTTTAATAGTGCCATTGAGAGGATATTATAGTTTTCGTAATTTTATACAATGCACAGTTCGAAGAAACGTAACCGTAAGAAAAATCAGGCTGCAAATTCCGCGGCTGAAAATCATGAAGAAAAGGAACACGCAGAGGAAACAGAAATGCCGGGGGCCTGCAATATTTCGATAAAAGACATTCAAATGGCGATGGAAGTTTTCAATATGCAGCAAAAACCTGCCAAGACCCAGGAAGAGGCTATGCAGAAAGCTTATCAATTCTGGAGCACCCAGCCGGTGCCAAAAATGGGTGAGTGACAAAACAATAACAATTATGTGAATACGAATAGAGTAAGAATTGCAATGGTTCTTTTCTAGATGAAAAGATCGTTCGTAATGAGCCCATTGAACCTGACAAGAATACTGTCAGAGCGGAACCTTACAGCTTACCTGATGGTTTTCAATGGGACACATTAAATTTAGACGATCCACTTGTCTTAGCAGAATTATATTCTCTGCTCTCCGAGAACTATGTCGAAGATGACGATGCAATGTTTAGGTTTGACTATCCACCAAATTTCCTCAAGTGGTACGTTTCTCTGTAATTGTTAAGTATAGTCATCTGCAGAATAATATGAAGTAATGGGAACATTTTAGGGCTCTACAACCACCAGGTTGGTTCAAAGAGTGGCACTGTGGCGTTCGTGTTACCAAGAGTGGTCGATTGGTTGGTTTTATCTCAGCTATTCCTGCTACTCTCCGTGTCTATAATCAGTGAGTAGACAAATCATCGAGTGAAACCTAATATTTCTGCTGGCTGCCAGATAATTAAAGACAAATGGTATATGCTCGTAAAATTGCAGCACCCAGAAAATGGTGGAAATTAATTTCCTTTGCGTGCACAAGAAGCTCAGGTCAAAAAGAGTGGCTCCAGTGCTGATTCGTGAAATTACAAGGAGGGTGAACCTCAAGGGGATCTTCCAAGCTGTGTACACCGCTGGCGTTGTACTGCCAAAACCTATAGCAACCTGCAGGTACATCTAAAGCTTATAATAATCCTTTAAAAAATGTCGAACTCGCATATTTAATTAAATATTTAACATGAACATAAACATAAACCTGTACTTTCAGGTATTGGCATCGATCTTTGAATCCCAAGAAGCTGATTGAGGTCAAGTTCTCTCATTTATCACGCAACATGACGATGCAAAGGACTCTCAAATTGTATAAACTTCCGGAGAATACGAAGGTGCCTGGATTTCGGAAAATGGTCCATACGGATGTGTCACAAGCTCACAAAATTCTTAAGGACGTAGGTTCGAAAAGTCATGTATAATTTTACGTTCTGACTTGTTTTCTATGTATTCCCATTTGCCATTGTATTTCGCATACACTCTATAATGAATTACGCGAAGAAAATAATTTACTTCTTAACAAACATGCAGTAAAACTCATCAGAAGATCACAAGTATTTCTGATAATTCATTTTTCATCGCATATCACTCGAAAAAATTTTCAATGAAATCCGGCTTACGCCATAAGACAAGTTGGTACGTAAATATGATGAGAAAAATCATTATTTCCTAGTGAGAAATCAATATTTTATTGTATAACAAGACAAAATCTAATTTAAAAAATCTTCGTAATACTTTTTTTTTTGCGTTTCAGTATTTAGAGAAATTCGACTTGGCACCATCCTTCTCCGTAGAAGAATTCCAGCATTGGTTCCTGCCGCAAAATGGAATTATTAACAGCTTCGTAGTTGAAAACAATGGTAAAGTTACTGATATGGTGAGCTACTACACATTGCCAAGTTCGGTGATGCATCACCAAACGCACAAGACTCTCAAAGCTGCGTATAGCTTTTACAATGTCTCCACTGTGACACCGTGGCTTGAATTGATTACCGATGCTCTCATCTCGGCGCGCAATGTAAGTAAAAAAAAAGACAATAATCTTACTCTAAACTGAATTCCTTAATTCGTATTCAGATTATGGATTTAAAAATATACAGATGTTTTCTTATTTCATAAGCTAACAATGAAATCAAAAGTATTTATTTCGAATAATAAGAGACTGATGTTTCGTAACGTTACACGTAAAAAATAATACATTGTCCACTTACACTATTCCGATTCATTCAATTAAAATAGATAAATTATTATTGACCATTGTAGTACGTGATACAGTTGCTGAAATTATATTCCGTAGAAGTTTCCTACACTCGTATTACGAATACAAGTTTTACTCTTTTATAGCTTGGCTTTGATGTCTTCAATGCACTGGACCTTATGGACAACAAAGAGTTCCTGGAGCCATTAAAGTTTGGCATCGGTGATGGAAATCTTCAGTACTACTTGTACAATTGGCGTTGTCCCAGTATGACACCTAGCAAGATTGGCCTGGTATTGCAATAGGAAGATCTCTTGCAAAAAGATTTTAGAGGATTATTTACAAAAGGCGAAGTGAATGACAGAATTAAAAAGATACAGCAGAAGAGTAACGTATGTAATTGGGAGGGAACGAATAGTGTCAATGAAAAACGCGATCAAATGAACAATCCGCAATGACGACACTAAACTGAGAAGAAGAAAAAGCAAGGAGAAGAAATGAGGATTAATTAACAAGGATCATTGTCGACGTGCCGAAAGCAATGGAGTTTAAATTTAGCTCGACTAAAAATGTATACGTTACACTGTACATTGGAAGCAAATTGAACACTCTGTAGATATATGACGGATAATATAAAAGAAAAAAATTCCCGCGAGAATTGAACGCGATATGTAGGAAAATTGTCATAACTTGATAAACCGTACCTTTTTTTACAGAGGTGGCACTATGACGGTAAGTCTCTTTCAATTTCAGATGTTCCATTCCTCTTGTATCCCAACGAATTAGTGTAGAGATACAGGGGTTTGCATCTACGGAAAAAATCTAGGAAGAGTGAATGTTGCAAAAAATAACAATGCAGAGAATGAGTGCGATTAAGAGAATATTTACGAAAATTGAACAAGAAAATGAATTATGAAAGTAAAAGTTGAAAATAAAAGAAGGTACGTCGAAACTCCTTGAATTACCTCAATTCGAACCTCTCATTCATTCACCAATCCTATGATACCCAAATGACAAAGTGTGAAATGATAAATACAAACTAATGGTCAACTACGAGTGTGTTTCTCCCTTCCGGTATCTGAGACGCGTCGATTACATAATGTCCCTTCATTTCCGGCAATGATTAGATAGCCTCGTCAGATAAATAGCACGCGAACGATGTAAGAAACCTGTTTGTCTAGATGGGCGCCGCAGTGTGATTTGAGGTAGCAATCAAATCTAACCTGGTTATTTTGTCTTCTCAAAAAAGGCATCAAAAGACTTACGGCTGCCTAGCTGAAAAAGAAGGTGTTATCGTGAGGGCACTCTACATAAACTAGATCCTTGGACTATCTAATCCATGAGTATTTCCACAGCAATCTCAATGATTATCATTGATTGTTATATAATCTCTTATCCGTTTGCGCTCTAGGAAACTACTTTCCATAAAATCGACCTCGCGTAATTTGCTTATGCACAATGATACAGTTACTAATATCACACTTCATATTAGACCTGATAATTTACTAAATAGACATAAACCTATTTACATTTTACTTAGATAATGACACAATGACGGTCTTTCCCGGCGTATTCTCATGGCAACAGAACCAACGACCATAACCCTAATGTCGAACATATTTCAATGTCAACGTGAAACTAGATTAAGCCGGGTTTACGCGCGTGGAACCCGTCGCGGCGATTGACGGCATATTAGCCTCTCTATAGGCGGTAAGAGGAAGATGGGACATTAGATGTCGATTAAGTTAAATTAGGTAAGTTAAGTAAGAGTAAAGCGATTCGCCGTAGTCGAGGAAGGTCTTAGCCTTGAGGCGGAATTTTCCGAATAAATTTTGTCTCTACCCGTACATTAAGACACGATGAGGTCATTATTCTCTCTATCTGCACGGTGTGTCTCCTTGGAAGAGTGCATGGCCGAGTTTTGAAAAAGGCGGAAATGTCAGAACGCCGAACAATGTGCTGGGGCGGTAGATAACGAGACTCCGACTGAACGCGCGCTTTGCGTACAGTTAGGTGGGGACGGACGTTGGCGATGCAGAATATATATACTGGCATAGAAAACGAGCGGAATTCAGTCACACGCCTGGTTTTGTTGTGTCGTTGCGTCACGTTATGGGGACCCATTAGATTACACTAGAAAAGAAAAGACTTACGATCACAAAGACAATTAGACTTTTGGGTCCTTATTAAACGTTAGGAGCATATATACGCATATATATACCGACTAGCGATATGATAACGCTTGCTGCTATCATTGGGACGATGTGCGCGTGCGTTGAGGCCTCCAGACTCTTTGGGTAGATAAATAACTAACTTGAGTTCCTATAGAATTCATTTTCGATAATTAAACGTAAAAGAATATAGGACAAATTTTTCATAGTTTCAACTTTGGTTCTTGGAAGAATCAATCTAATACTGTTTTGGATTTTAATGTGTACTGGAACGTACCTACCTTTATGTGCCACCAGTATGGTATGCACTTTGAGGAGGTGAGCAAGGATTATGGAATCCTTCAAAATATTAAAGATGATTTTCGTGGAGATCAATTGGCTATACTGTATGATCCTGGAATCTTCCCAGCTCTCCTGAAGGATTCGAATGGTAAGAATTTTCGATAGGTCTCTTGATCCTTAGCGATCTATTCTTTCTTTCCATATGATAATTACTGTATGCTCTTTAAGGTAAACTCGTGAGACGCAATGGCGGTGTGCCGCAAGAAGGTAATCTTACCCTTCATCTTACACTCTTTCGAGAACATCTACTAGAACAGATACCCCATCAGGACTTTGCTGGACTCGGTATATTGGACTTCGAAAGCTGGCGTCCCATATTTCGTCAAAACTGGGCTTCACTGGCGCCGTATCGAGATTTGTCAACGGAAATTGAACGGGCGAGACATCCGTTCTGGGATAAAAAGGCCATTGAACGAGAGGCTGTTAGACGATTTGAAAAATCAGCCCGGCTCTTCATGGCGGAGACACTCGAGGCTGCCAAAATTCTTCGTCCTTCGGCTAGATGGGCCTATTATGCTTATCCATATTGCTTCAATTTGACGCCGCAGCAGAATAGTATACGGTGTAGTCCTGCTGTAATCGAAGAGAATGATAAGTATGTGTAAATTAAGGAAAAAAAAAAGAATATATAAAGTAAAGCGATATAAATATAGTTGATACTTTTCAAATTTTTTTAATATAAAGAGATCAAAACGATATTAACCCTAGTATGCATAACGTAGCTGAAAGACATGATTTTAACGTGGCCACTTCGCCTCGAGGCCCTAGTCATGCGTACTAGGGTTAAAAATTAAGACATTTCATTTATGTGATATCGACCTTTTTAGGATGTCCTGGCTTTTCGATACCCAGGATATGCTGTTACCTTCTGTATACCTAAGACTGAACCTAAATAGTCGAGACAGGGTTGGCCTTATCAATGGGAGGGTGAAGGAAGCTCTTAGAATCTCAAAATGGATGAAATCACGTGCTCCTGTATTTCCTTACTTCTGGTATAAATATCAGGACGATCGGGATGTTTATCTTAACGGGGTGAGTACCGTTTGTTATTATGACGCAATGAACATTAGAGATGAGTATCAAATGCACTTTTAAACTTTGTAGGAAGACGTTGAAAATAGCATGAAGGAAATAGCCAAGCTCGGAGCTAATGGAATAGTAGTTTGGGGTAGTTCCCAGGACGTTAACAGTAGAGCCAAGTGTCAGAAATTTCGAGACTATGTCAAGGATGTCCTCGGCCCTGTTGCAAGGAGTGTAATACGTCCCAAGCTGGAGAATATGCAGGAAACTACAGTCATTGGAGAAACTTCAACGATCGAAGTAACTGCACCAATAAAGGAAACTTCAGGAACGAAAGAAACGTCAGGACCAGAGGAAACTTCAGAAATAGAGCAAACTCCAACAATTACAGAAACTTTACCGATAAAAGAAACTTCGCTTGTAAGTGAAACAATTACAACATCAAAATCGGCCCAGAAAACTTCTCACGAAAATCCTCCTACGAATTCACGATTGACAGAATATAATAATAATTTGACTAGCAATCAGCTTCAAAATCATCTTCGAAATAAATACGAACCTGATGGCGTAGATCGTAATAGTATCTCAGAAAAGGATCGATACGGGAATGAATCGGAAACCGAAATTGTCATCCAATCCAAAACAGAGAAAGCGATCGAGAAGATTATATTACAAAATGCAGATCCAGAGAATGACGGCAACGAGCGAGAAGATGCTGTCGCAAGACCCTGAAGTCAATCTTGTAAATAATACAAAGGATAATGAATTTTTAACGTACACCATCAGTTCAACAACCATCAGCACGTTTGACGCGCCGGAAGAGACGACGGAGCCCCAACCAACGGAAGTAGCTTAACGCGAGGCACAAGTGAATCTAGCAAAAAGAATCCAAAGAGAAGCATAATTTTATGAAAAAGAAAAAACGATACCAAAAAGATGAAATCAGTATTCCAAGATTGTATCATCACACGATACAAGTACGACTCATCGCGATGATATCTCGACATGTAACGCGAGAAGCAAGATCAAGTCGGAGCTTACAAGGCGAGTAGCCCCGCCTAAAAAAAAAGATGAAATAAATATTCTATAGTCTAAAACCTTCTCTCATTTAATCGTATCTGTAACAGAATTCAATTTCAAGGATGATGACGCAAATTCATTGGATAACGTACACCATGAGCTCTCCGTCACGATGACCAATACGATAATACTCCAAAGTCAAAGCCTCATCCTTATTCGTAACTCGTGTAAACTCTCTGCTATCCAAACCAGTGGATAACCAGAATCGTGTGTTCGATCGGTCGAAGCTTATGACGAAGGCACTTTAGCACTAGGACACGACAAGTTTTACTGGTTCGAGGTGTAAGGCCTGAGGCGATCTTGCTTTTTACAGTACCCCACGTCCGTGCGGGCTGGTGGGTAGGTAGTCAAAGATCTCTCCTGTGCTCTCTGCACCACTCCGGTCCTTTACTCTCTTGCCTGAGGCGTCTTTTATTTTTCTTCTCTCTCTCTCTCTCCTTCTCCATCGCACCTCAAGAGGGAGAGAGAGAGTGCCCATCCAAGCGTTATCCTTCTTCTTCGGTGATTCTCTTTGTCACTCCCTCTCTCACCGAATCTCACTCCCTCTCCCAGTATGGCTCTCTCGCGGTAGAACGGAACGGGAACGGAACGGAACCGCTGGTGGAGGAAACGAGCGAAGGACTGCAGAGAGAACGAAACGCAGCGGCCGAGATCCGCAGCACAGTTTTCGTGGAGAGCTCGGAGTCCCGGCTCGCGGCACACGTTCTCGCGTTTCAGCTCAGTTGCCTCCTGGCAGCCAGGATCCCAGCTACGTAAGGAAACGCGAGCCAAGAGTTTCTAAGAGACGCAGGCACCGCGATTACGGCCCTCGTAGCGCCTCCTCTTCCTTGATCACGACGTAGTAGACCCGTCCAAGAGTCGCGGACGCTCGACTGTGCGCGATTAACGGGGGTACCAAGGTGTCGCACAGTAGCAGCTACAGCCAATTTTTCCTACGAATGGATAATCCATAGCTACGTCGTACAACCGAGAGTTCCAGTGCTTTAACATCGGCCGAGAGGACTAGACCGTCGACCATAGTCCCAGCAGGAACAGTTGTCATCGTACCGAAGAGAGCGGAATAGCCGAGCGGAGTGAAGGAGTATTTACGTAGAAAAGAAAAGAAAAAATATATATAGTGTGAGACAAGGGGGACTAGAGGGGGATAGTTAGAAAGAAAAAAAAAGGGAAAAAGAAGGAAATAGAAGAGAGAGAGAGAGAGAGAGACACAGGTGAGTGGGACTTTGCGGTGTCGTTAATCGCTCCTTTTTCACGAACTGTACATTAAACGGGTAACGATGATAAACGATAACACACCATTCACGTATCGATCGCATAAGACCCATCTATCCCGCTCGCACATGGATTCAAGATACAGTAATACACGTGCACTTCGTGGCCACACGAATTGCAGAACTCCATGACCCATGACCTATACTTTCGATTTTTTAATACTTTCTCTTTCCGCTTCACTTCCCGACGAACTTCAACGAGATGCATTTCTTTTCATATACGACGGCCTCGGTTTTGCTACGGCGTCGAGACGCCGACGCTCAGTCTTCGGTGCTACGCGGATGTCGCGTACGAATATCGTCTAGCCATACTGTTCGTTGGCTATACCGAAGAGTGTTAACGATAATAATAATAATTAACAATAACAAGAATAACGACAAGAACTCACTACTTTGCCATGTAATACTTCGTGGACATTCCATGACGGTAGCTCACGCATAATGTCAATATCTCTTATGGTAGTGTTCCGATGGGTTCGTGACGTCGGGAGGAGAAGGGAGGTCTTTTAAAGAGGCGAGGCATTAAGAACAACAATGTCATTACATTTTAACGACCTGTTCTTGGTTGCCCCCTATAAAGCTTTCGGGGTGTTCGTTGGCAGGTATGTGGTCCATTGGGGGGGGCCAGGAGGGGGGAACCCCCCCGTACACGTACGTATCTTGTAGTACCGCGGCCGAGAGCCCCTCGCTCGCGAGGAATCAGTATGGGTGACGAAACAAAAGCAACGAGGGTATCAAGGGGAAGAATCGTTGAAAGAGAGCTGGCGAGGAGGAGGAGGAAGAAGGAGGTGAAGAAGAGAAAAAAAAGAGCCGAGATGGCGCCACACGTCCAGCATGTTTTCGGGCCATCCTCCGGTGCTGTTGGCAAACTCTTTTCGTCTTTCTTTTTATTCTCCCCCTTCATCATCCTCTTCTTCCTTTTCTCTCCTCTCTTCCTCCCGTTCCCGCCTCCCTCACACCTTGCCGTCCTTTACTACGAGGAGAGTCCTAACCTCCTTTACCCTCATCCTCCTCCGACCGCCTCTCTTTATTAACCCCGACCTCTTATTAGCTGCTATCCTCTCTGCCCACCCAAAAAGAAACCTCAATCCTCCTACGCACCGAACCATACCTATTTCTTGATATTAAATTTACAAAAAAGACATACGCGCGCGTGCTTTCATAGGAATTCACGATCCTTTCGTAAAAACGTCAAATGTTGGATATGTTTTTTAGAAATTCAATAATCAATAGCGATGGCTGAGGTTCGTATCGATGATCAAAGACGTGAGCAGCCAAGACGCGTAACGTCGTCCCATTAACCTTCGGTCTCTTACGGTATTTCGTAAATCACCAAAGATCCAGACACCAAGGCCAAATCCGTACGTACGTCCAGAATCCTCGGTCTCTAATCTCCCCGTACCATACTCACCCAAAGACGTATTAGCATTTAAGCGACTGTCCGGCGCGGACGTACCCGCCGTTGGGTACCTCCGAAGCCCAGACCCACACCATCGTCCCTCACGCACTTACGCACGCACGCTCAGATCTTGCTCCTATACGTGACATCACGAAGGTCTCGTACCAGAGCGTACACATGACGGGCTTACCGATTCGCAAGCGGTTTACCAGCAAAGAAAATCCCCACTCGTGTACCCGCGCACGGGAGACCCGGCGAAGGTGATCAAGCTGGTGCCACACGGCGAAGGAGCTCATGTGGGAATGGAGATGGTGATGGTACCTGGTACTGGTGGTTGTGGCGCTGCCGATGACGATAGCCGTGGTAGTAGCGACGGTGCCGAGGAAGAGGCACGTGTACGCGTTCCCGCACACTCCTATTCGCTCTATACGCATTAGCACACATTAGCACACCGAGGTACCCGGAGGCAGACCACTCTTTTCAGATCTTTTAAACTCTCGAGGTGCACTGGCTCCTTGCTGAAGTTACCGAGAGATCGCGAACGGCCAATGGGAGAGGAGCTTGCTTTAGGACGCACCAGCTTCGTCTAGGTCTATACTACTCTGCGCATACCGAATTTCTATAGGATCGGATCGGTAGGTGTTTTTGAGATAAGGCGACTGGATTAGCATGGTAAACTGGATTGGGACAGATAGGATCTGCTGTTTGAGATTTTATTTTTGCTCTTTACGGTGACACGTTATTTTAATGGGATTGTGTATAGCTAGACAAAGTGTAATCGCTGGGTATTTAAATGACTTTTTCATCGTGGGAATGATGGTGGATAGCGGTATCAGGTCGATTGGTACCACGATGCTGGGACTCGTAGGTACAGAGCATTTTTTGGTTACTGTATACCGATGATGCTGTGAGACTTTTAGTGTCGCGTAGGTGGATATTTATAGTTTGGATATGTAGAATAAAATTCCATAAGGTTTTCTCAATGGTAATACGTATAGGGGGTGATAGAATGAGATATGTCCTGGAATAACACCAGGGACGCGGTCCTGGATTAACCTGTGAATCTAATAAATCATAAGGGTTTTTGTGCTCAATTAATCTTGACACGGAATTCGAAGGAATCGCCATTGCCTAGGATAAATCCCTATGGGATTGCCACTCGGCATAGTTCCCGGCACCACGAATCTGTCTCGAAGCATCGTAAAGCTGCGAAAGCCACTCCGTGAGTGGGATCACTTTGGCGGTTCCGTTTCTAGAGGGGGGCTACGTCAAATTTCGTTGAAAATCAAATTAATCTCGCCGTTGGGTGCAGCCCGGCTCGGTCTACTCGGCTCTCTTCTTGCTCTGCTCTCTCCGGGCTCTTTGAGAAAGTCGAGCAAATCGAATCGACGGGACTGGCCGGAGGTCGGACTCGCCCTCGGCAAGAGGCGAGAAGAGAAGGTGGCGCTGCAACAAAGAGCTTTAGACTTCTGGCAACTGCACCGGCCAGGGACGGTGCACCAGCGAAAATCATCGAGTCCAATATACACGAGTCATCTTGCTACCGGACTGACCCTACCATAAATTCCTAGGATATTCTTTGACCTTTGACACTTGTTAAATTTACATCGTCCAAGACTCTCGGTACAGTGGGTAAACCGCTGTGGTAGCTGGGATATCAATTCTCATTAAAGGCTGTATAACTCGATGATTTAGGATCCCCTAAAATTACGTGCGAATAAGTGCGGCCCTGTTGCGTCTTATTCGGTCATTCAAATCTCTGCAGTCGTAGGTATAAGCAGGCACATTATACACCTATACTATACACCTATTTCTACCATGTACAGGGTGATTCGATTGAAACTGATTTTAAGGGTGCTTATTTATGTCGACATTTATATACAAGAAATATCCAATCTATATACATATATATTCATTACAAGTGTGGTATAACGATTCATGACCATATTTGGTAAAGTTCTAGAAGCTTAAGGGGAAAAAGATTTTCTTAATGATTATACAGAGAGTAAAACGTGCAGGTAATACGTGTTGCGTGCATGGGATAGGTTTTTGCTATGGGACACCCAGTATCTCATGGAATAAGAGTGGCACACATGGTGTGTGCCACCTCTCCTGTTATATGCCATGCACACAGAGAGAGGCCCTCGGGGCGGCACGTCGATTCTCGGAACTCGAAATAAGAAACGGAAGATCGGAGATCCTGCGCGAGAATATAAGGCGAGAGCGGGCTTCTCTTAGGGTGGATCGGGTGGAATAGGTAAGCCGATGGATGAGGGGTGACGGAGGAGGACGAAAAGGAGACGAATTGAAATGCATCCAAGGGGAACGAAAAATCGTGCCTCTCTTGGAAATACCATAGGGCCAATTGTCCAACGTATCCAGAAGGGAATCGGGGACGAGATTCCTTTTGTCAGGAATTCCTCCCTGGTATGAAGAAAGAGAACTGCCGAGTGCTCGAGGATGCTTGGAAATAGTGAACCCCTATGTATAAAAATATCCTTGCCGATTAAAATGCTTTCTGATGGCTGGACGATATTGATAATCTCGTATTTTTTAATTTTTTTTTTAATACGTGGATATGGTGAAATAAAAAAATCTTTTTAAACGCTACTTGAGCTATGGTATCGTTATTGGATAAGGAGGCCTTGTCCTTCGTGATCGACTTCGTCTTCGTACACCTGTCGCACGGTAGTGGGCATCGCGCACAAGATGACGCAATTGCACCAGGTCGTCGAACCTGAGACCTCGAGGCTGCTCGAGCCGTAACTTTCATTCATTCGGAAAAAATCTACGGACCTCGCGATCCAATCCCCATGATACTTTAACGCAGTTTCCCATTGCAGTATCGTTACGTCGAGAGACACGCTAGAGTCCCGACCTAAGAATAGGTATACTGAGAAATATTTAACTTCTTCCTTACTTACATCGCTATACCGTTATTGTGTTTTGTTGGGATTACGGTAACGCCCTATAATTTTATGGTTATTTCAGTGAAGATGGGGTACGGTTTAGCAGTGTCTTTGACAGTCGTGATGCTGCATTCGTCCATGCTGCGTGCTCATCGCGAGCATAAGGTTTGCATACGGCTGAAAGTAACCTCGGCCATTTTGAATATTTTTGTACGGACAAATCCAAATTTCTAGGTTTTTTCTATTATTCTTTTAGGTGCACAATATTGTTCTCTACCCGGATAAGCACAGCTGGTGCAAGACAACCCCCATCAAGCAGGTGGTAACCTGGCCTCAGTGTTCCTCGCAGGAGTTGGATAACAACGTGTGCGTAGGAGCATGTTTCTCGTATATGGTACCCCATAGCGAGCCTTCAGCTCCGGGTGACCTAATTCGGCCCTATTGCGACTCGTGTCAGCCATTGGATAGCGTCTGGCACACGGTAATTTTTTTTTTAATATGATAAAAAAATTATATCCGTTTCTGTGCTTTGACCTTCGTTTACTCTTCTGTACAGGTTACCCTGGACTGTAAGGACGAGGAGAACAATCCGATAACCATGCAGAAGAAGGTGCAGATCATCACTAATTGTTCCTGTAGCTCCTGCATGGAAACGTCACGTATCAAACCGGATTACAATACTTTGCTTCAATCACTGGCTCAAGAAAATCTCGATAAAAATGTCAACACTGTACACGAGACACCGGATTTATTATTGAATCCGAATCTGAACACCTCGAACAATACGACTGGAGATGGCATCTTTGCAGGTGAGAGGTTTGTGCAGCTGGTCAAGGAGTTCAAGAGCTCGGAAAAACTGGTGAAACCTGAGGTCAAGGAGTTATTCTCGAAGCTGGAGGAAGAGATTGATCTTGATAAGTTTAAAGATGTTTTGCGTGATATATACGTGCAGGAGGAGGTCGAAAGTCATAAACAGCATCACGAAGCACTCCTGCATCGTGGACCGCATCATTCTATGGTACTGGATTCTGGGGTTAAGGAAAAGATCGACGTAGAGCCACATTATCTTCATCCTGCGGTGGCGGGACAGGAAATTAGTTATAACGATAATATACTTGTTGATAAAGATAAGAAAAAGGGCTTTTAAGGAAATCGCCATAGACTTTGAAAAACTTGTACGAAGGGACTTCCGTGCGGACGTTAAACGCGAGTCTCGATTATTTGACGCTGGACGCCAAAAATGGCAGGAATCTTCGGTTAAACATTGACGATGTCGTTTATGATCACGTTATATGTCCCTAGATCTGAGAATTAATGGGTATAGAGGTTTGAGGATCGAGCACAAGATGGCCGACGGTGCGAAAATCAGCGCGGGAAAATTTCATTATATGAATGTAAACTCTTTGGCGCATCACGAATTGACGTCGCGCACCGTAGGAATGTCAGCGTTCTCTTAAACTAATCTATTATTCGATGTTCGATGAGAAATTATATTGTCGGAGAGCAACAAGATAATGGGAGAGCGAGAGAATTTGAGAGAAACACAAGTAAAGGGAGGTACGAATGAATAATGATAAAAAGTGCCGAAATGAACAAAAAAAAATGATACGAATTCACAGTGCGAACAAGTATTTGAAAACTGGCTCGCGCGAATGAAAGAAAGAGAGAGAGAAATTTTAATATATTTAATAATTATTATATTAATTATTTAACAATATATTTCTAAGCCCTTGTTTTCCCCACTCTTTGTATTTGTAATTTATATGAATATACGAACACGTGTAACCAACTTACTAGTTGCCTATACTTAATCACACGTTATACCTATACAGACAACTCTCCGTAATATAGCGCACGCGGGCACTCTGGTCGCACTATATGTCGCACTATATTAGAGATAGTGCTGTCCTACGGAATGCCTCCCCACTACAATGACATAGACGGGTGTTTGACAGAGGTAGAATAGACAAAGCATTGCGACACAGATGACTGGGAGAAACATTCCCCTTACAGTGAAATAGCTTAGAGAGAGCGGTTGAGGGGAAACGCAAAATTAGTCAGCGCTTCTATATAATATTCTATAAAATGTCTACCAATGTCTACATACGAATACCTATACTCTACGTTCTGGTACTTAGTAAATAATTTTCGAAACCTCTAATAATACACTTTGCCGCAAGCTGTGCATACTTTCTCTTATCACATGGATTCCCCTCTTGCATTCATAGAAGTAAACACGGAATGTACGTTCTGCCGAGTTTCGAAGCGTGGTCGAAGCGGAATACCTCGGGTCGACAATCGCAAAGCTGGTTACAGTCGACGCGCAACGCTCTACGTATGTGATTGGATAGTCAGCGCTCGGTTCTAAAAGAAGGGAGCGTTTATAACTACTGAGCTAAGGACATCGTAGCCAATCGGTGCCCTCTAGTAATCAGAGCGAGGGGAAATGTTTAGCCCGGATCGGTCTCGACTGTCTCAGTCAACACGTTGCTAACTCTCGCTACGGTTATAAGGTCGAGTACGTTGAAGAATTTACGGATGTGGTCAAAGCTCGTTAAATCATTGTGAATTCGTACGAGAGAAAACACGAGCAAGTAAATATCACATGTGAATATCGCTATCATGTAGTCGGTCGTTACCAATGTCGGATAACATCGTCGTGACGGGTTTAAGAAATAATGCCAGCAAATTTATTAATTTTCGATTACTTCTGAGACGGGAACTCGGGCGGCGTTGTATTACTAGAGATTGCAGGGAGGAATTCGTGTCATTTGAATCGTAGAAGAAAGAAAATAAACACCAAGATGGATATTATGGACGGTAAGGATTTTACATTTATATTCATTATTTTATTAATCTTCGGGTTATTTCATACACGCTTTATATCAACATTTATTCTTATTTCGTTTTGCTTATCATTTAGCTGATATTACATCCGTTTACCGAGACTTAGACGAAGATTGGGAATAGCTTTGTCATTATAAATTATCTTACAGTGTATGATCAGTAATTATGTTAGCGCTAACTAATAATGTTTATCGTACGATTCACATTGCAACATTTATCACTGTATCGTATTATCGATACAATATTATACTTGGTTTTATTAGCTGCATTAATTCTCAACAATATTTCGTTATGTGACTAATAACAAATAAGCCATCAAAGATCATTGAAGAGCTATATATGACAAAAATACTGATAGGTGGAAATTTCTGGTTTATCAAAATCTCGACAGGCGCTGTTATCGTCAAGCATATTCTATCTGACTGTAGTTGTTATGAAACTAACACTGAATTTTATTTCTGTAAGATATGAATTTTTTATATCCACCATTAGTTAATGATTCCATCATATTTTGTTCGCTTCTCGAAGCAGTGACCTCGAGAATCATTATGATTTGTACACTGTCATTATAATAATAGCCGTAACGTCACGTCCATTAATAACAAAATGTTCACAAAAGGACACAAAAAATCTTGTACGATGATTCTGCTGACATGGCGAATCAGTGAATGATGATTCTCTAGCTATATTGAACAATTAGAATTAATGAGTAACTTAGCAGACGACCTTAATCGCATCGAGTTAAATTGATCCACCGAATAAATGTCCGATAACCCCATTGCTACAGGTCACGTTACAACTCGAATCATTTATGATGATATCAGGATGCCTAAACACTCACGATACATTTAGAAAATAAGCACGGATAGCTTCTCTGCAATGTAAATGTACAGACCGTACACTGTCATTATTAATGCTTATTCTAAACATGTTGATATTGTTGTTTCGACAGTGATTACGTGAAAATGAATGGAAATTTATCGGTGAAAGTTTCATGTCAGTTATTACAATCAGTAAAATATCGCTCTAGCTGTACGTACTAAGAAAGCGCTGTGGTTATATGTATAAAATTTTCAAGTATTAAAATCTCAATTTCTAAGAGAACGTACTCGTTATATACTTTATGTAATATCTCAAGTGTTATTGTCGGTCCGCGAGTTTAATGTTTTCTTTTGACAGATGCCAAACAATGCAATCCTTAGAAAATCACACGTGACTTTTCATAAAGTCACGAAAACATATCCCGAAGTAGAAAACTAAAATAGATTTCAGAGTGAAACCATGTAGATGCATACTTCTTTGTAAAAAGAATTTTAGTCAGTCACGTGTCGTTCGCTAAAATCTTTATTGTTTACGATCTGTCAAAAGAAACACACTGAACTTATGGACCGGCTATAATATCTCATCAAGTCTATTATAAATAATTGATAATTATTTTATCTATACATAGAAGTTATACTTGTTAGATCTATATAGTAAAATCCGTAACAATCATTCAAAATGAATATGACGTACACGTAAGGATTTTAGAAAGGATCGAGCAATCACAAATGAAAGGAATAAACGAACGTGATTAATTATTCCTTTGTAAACTCGTACGCGTAAGTAAACGTACCCAGCGTTTCACCGCGCTCCGTTTAAATCCAAGTACATAGTTCCTCAATTCGACGCAAGATGGAATCACTCTGTTCTACTAGCACATATGATAAAGCAGCCTGGCAACGATCGCTGGTCTATTCTTTTTAAATGCCCCTGTAACTTTACATGAAAAATTACTGTGAACTCAATTGTTACTCGTAAGGTAAACTATCAACGACAAGTGCGATATATTCAAGAGAAGATAATTTATGACTTTCATTTCAAAGGCATACACCATTGGCAGCATGGAGGCTTGTAAAGTAGTCATAAATAATTTTCGAGACTTGAGCTGATTTACAATCTTCTCTTTGGAGCGTGAATTTTTATACCAATTTATTGAATTATAGGAAAACGCTATTACGTTAAACGAAATAATTTCTTATATAAGAAGGTACCTTTAATGTATAATTGATAAATTGATAGGACCGCGAATCAAATCTCATCCGATTCGAGGTGACAGATGCATCAAGAAACTTGGCCATGGTCTACGGTAGCTGCGAAATTTTAATATGACAGAGGACACGTGGTTCAAGGCGTTAGCTTGAATCGAGTGTAGGGGAGAGGAAGCCGGTCGTTCAATACTCCAACAATGAGTATACTCTATTAGGCATGGCTACTATCGATATAGTATATACACAGGTGAATGTGTTACACAAGTATGATTGTTATTAGCAAACCTGATGAGTCGCTACGAAAACAAGTGTAAATTTAAGGGCGTGTAATTAGCAGTAAGAAGGCGGTGAGGAGTTCCACTGAGAACGAATGAGTCACGGCTCGATGTCGTCGATTCTTGAACCCGAGAGTAGGGAGACCACCTAGGGCCGTCACGAAAAAATATTTGGCCCCGGGCATTACCTGGGAACTACTCCATTTTCATTTTGCAACTGATGATGGCTAAGCAGTAGCAGAGTCGAAGGAAGATTTAAACGACTTTTCCTATATTGTCAGTCAACATTATTACTATATATTATCGAAATATCTAAGATAAAATATAAGGAATTAATAATTTGTTAAGATAATCAATATTGAGCTGTTCTAAAGTGAATAAATATTAAATATAGAATAAAATCGAAACTACAAATTTAATGTAAATATTGAAAGGCTTCTTATAAAATATTCAATCAATCAATGAAAGTTTTATTTGTAAAGTTTTATAAAAGTGATGTGTCTTTTACCAAACATATATGTGGTTTAGTCTCTAGGTCACCCAAGAGATACGTCCCTACACGAGATTGACTTGGTAAGCGGTGCGCATGTCTTTGACTAATGCGAAACGATTCCCTTAATTCGTGGGTGTCTGGAACGTCTCGAGAATTGGAGCGCGGACGGCAGTCAGTAGCCGATGAAGATAAAAGCAGTTCGGTTCGTTCTTGGACAATAAAGAATTCTCTTTGTGGCTCGAAAGTTCAGGAAATTACAAGTGGACGGGATAAACGTAGAGAGCTGCACAGTACGACAGGCAGGTTCGCTCGTTTCGAATAGTCGGCGCCCGCCATCTTGGACGGCGCCAGTGGAGAGACACGAGGGAGCACGTTGCAAATCGCATTCAGTATAATTTCAGAAGACGAGTCTCAACGACAAGTCGAGTCAGTTTCTAGGCAGTGGAGCGTTCGTAAAGGTGTAACCACGAGAGGAATATTGACGTCGCGGCACGTTGTGGATGAGTCAATCCAAAAGTATTCCCAGGGTGGCATAGATGTGATATTACGGGAAAAGCGTGCAAAGTGACTTCGTGGTGGAAAACGATTTTTTCTTTTTCTTTTCCTTATTTGACGCGGACTCTCTTGGGGCAGGAGAACGGCTATCCGTAATTTTGACAACATGAGCAAAATGTTGGGAATAAACTATTGCACAGTGTTCTCTGTACTTAGAAGTCCCGAACAGGGTGAAGTGTTTAAGCGGGTCAACTGAATTAAACATCTGTAAAAGGATCATTGAATTGTGAATATCTGGCACGAATTTCGTACGATCCAGCCCTCGCACGCTGGTTAATTCCTGTTAGCAAGGGATTTTAAAAAAAAAGTGCTACTTCACATTCTAGAGAGGGTTTGCAATATCAAAATCGAAACCTCGCTCAACCTCGAGTCTCGTTGACGCAATTCGTCTATATATAGACGAGTATTTCCGAACGTCGGGACTTCTTTTGAGGGACGAGACGCGATCCTTGAAGTTACGTTGATCGATTCGTCGAAGCTCACTGTTGTCCGGACGACCGTGTGAATCGAAACATAAAGATTCTGAAGTCCTGGTTCTACCGTATGGTCGTAAGATTATTCTCATACGATTCTAGATAATATTTAGAATAAGTAACCAATGGTACAAGGACTAATTTCCTGGAAGATTATATAAAAAATAAAATTACGCAACGCGTACCGATTTTCCTTGAGAATAATCAAGTGAAGTGCAATATCGTCACTGGGGATAATAATCATTCTTAACTGGGAGGAATTTTCTCGACTGTCGATAAAGTAGTTTCGCGAGTGTTCGAAGTAACGTGAATCTTCGTTACCTACCGGCACAGAAACTCGAAAGGACAGGAGCCGATCGTATATTTGACGACGGCCATAAAAAACCACACACCCCTATTAACCCGTAATGTATTTGAGATCGCACGTAGGAGCAAGCAAAGGGAGGCAGCACGAGTACACAAGAGCGTCGGCGGAATTGTGGACCGGTCGACGAGTCCCTGGACCACCGTCGACATCCGGTCGTTTCAGAAGAGCGCGACACTTGTCCGTTTGCCGATTCGAGGATCAGACGCAAACGAGTGCCACGATCCCGCGTGGTATAAGACAGTCGGAGGCGATATTGGAGCGCGGAATGAGCGAGGGTGAAAGGGCAGTAACGACGCCTCGAATCGGCTGGCGAAAACTTACCGATCCTGGCGACTGACACGCATCCAGAAAAACAAAGAGTAACCCCAAGCGATAGCATAAGCTTCGCCATCATCGTCCACCACCTCTCCGCCATCATCATCATCGTTGACATTGATCTTGATTAAGAAACCGGGTCGTCATTATAGGCACGGCAAAAAATCGGTATACCGATAATTGGCAAACGACGCATGTGCGCCAGATGATAAAAAGAAGAGACAGTGGACGTGACCGGGAAATTACTCCAAGATATACCAAAATGTCCGATAACCGGTATCGGTAGCAGACGGGGTTACTACCCTGTGATACGTGGACAAGGTAGTTAGCTCTCCTACGGGAAAGGCTAAAAGAGAAAAAGAAATACCGACCGAGTACTCGTGCACCAGATTGCTTTATTGCCATTTTCTCTTTGTTCGAAACTACCCTTACATTACAATCCTTACTCCATATGAAACCGTCGTGACTTCCCTGTATGTATCCCTTACTTACCAACCCCTGACATATGCTCGATCGCTGCTACATCCTGGGTGAATAAAAAAACGTTAGGGAATAAAAATTCTTCAATACGACGATAGACAATATACCTTCTTTAGTGTAAAGGTAGCGCGAAGGGACGCGAAATATCTACACTTCGTGATAAGGTGTCGTGAAATAAGATAAAAACGGTGACGGAAAGTGTCGCAATACGTAGTGTGATAAGATTTAAGCGTGTTCGTGGTTTAAGGTAGTGACTTTTGTTTAAAATATAACGTGCGATAACGGCCTCAAAATGCCGGCGACGCCAAATAAGCTAAATCTAAGCTTTGCCAGGAATGCTTACAGCGTATTCGGGAATCGAAATTCCGTCCCGAACACTGATCATCAGAGAGAACAAAAAACGGAATTGCTCGAGGGTAAGGATTATTGTAGGACCAGATACCGTGTCCTCGCACCAGACGTAAATTCCCACTAGTCATTAATAATCATCTACTTTAATAAAACGCAAAAAGGCGTGAATATGATTTTTTTACTACCTACTGACAATGAATAGCACAATTCGAAACTGCGCAACTTTTTTGCCCCCTTTTTTAGGTAATAGAATAAAGTAGGCATAGAGAAAGTCTTATTAGCCCCACCTCGGGTTTCAGGTACCCGAGGCAATGGCCTCCTTCATCTTAAAAACGGAGTCGACTACATCAATCCGGGCGAAGAGGATCAGATGGAGATTTACGGGTGCTTAAGAATTCTCCAAGTTTTAAAACGTATTATCGATAGACGGATCTTCTTACGGATCTTTTTTCCATCTTTCTTTTACAGATATAAAAGGAATCAGGTACGAACCGCCGTAACCTGGTTCATGATAGTCATCACTGGTGGCTTACTGAGATTGATCTTCCACTGGGTGCCGCATTTTATGCTTCTGGTTACGCATTCGCAATGTCCTATGGAGGAAGCTGAGACTGTTTTGCTCATCGAAAGATTTCAAGGAAAACACACAAGTTACTATGTGAAGAAACTTAAAACTCTTACAGCAGAAGAAGTGTTGTTAGTATCAAACATTTTGGTATCTCGATTTTCATTGGTATATTTCTCGGTATCTGATTGTCCTTAGTGCAATGAAAATACTAACCGTAAGTCTTGTTTAAAGGAAAATGCCACACGACGGAGACTCTCTGATTGAAAATGAATCGTGGCCGGACAATGGTAGTGTTGTCGAAGTTAAAGAAGACAAAGAAGTACCGACCTTGTCCATACATTTAACCGGTGGCCATTTCAAGAGTGAGTTGTATTCTTTTGTTGACATAGAGACAATTATCCATTATGATTATACTGTTACAAATAAACTCCTTTATGCAGAGGTCTCGTCCATACTCACGTTCAATTGTAAGAAATTGACTTATATTTGGGACACGGAGAGATCTGAATTTTTGAAATTGCGTGGTCTGGATGTTGGGGTGTTAACGTCCACTTTACATCAGATGCCAGGTTTGAGTTCGCAGGAACAATATATGAGGTAATAGTCAATAATTGTTCTGAAAATCCATTTTTATACCTGCAAATCTTTAATATAGTGAATTTATAGCAGTAAATTGTTTTATGTATACATGTTTTTATCGTATAAGGCTTAAATTATTTTTTCCTCCTTCGATTATTATTATAAAATTTGTATTAGAATAATTATTCAATCTAAATCCCATTTATTTTCTCAGACGCAGCGTATATGGGAATAACGAGATTGTAATTCCAGTGAAGAGTATTCTGACCTTGCTGGGTCTAGAAGTGCTGAATCCTTTTTACATTTTTCAACTATTCAGTTTTTGCCTCTGGATTGCTGATGATTATTTCTATTACGCAATGGCCATCTTGAGCATGTCAGGATTTGGCGTTGCTATGGCTGTCGTTCAGACACGCAGAGTACGTAACTTATGTTTTTATTAATTTTTTTCTTTTAGAACTTATTCGTTTTCACACTTTACTTACCACTTCGTGGCTTACAGAATCAGCATAATCTCCGATCCACAGTACACTCCTCGGATGTTGCGACTGTCATTAGAGATCGTGCAACTGGGCAAACCGCGACGGTACCCGCAGAACGTCTTGTGCCTGGAGACATTTTAGTAATTCCATCTCACGGCTGCTTGATGCCCTGCGATGCGGTATTATTGACAGGAAACTGTATTTTGAACGAATCAATGCTTACTGGAGAATCGGTACCAGTTACCAAGACTCCTATTCCGTCATCGAATGAAGTTATGTACGATACCAAGGAACATGCTAGACACACACTCTATTGTGGTACGCGTATCATCCAAACAAGATACTTTGGAAGTGAAAAGGTAGTACATAAATATTTTGAATTAGACTAAATAAAAGTGAACTAAAATACTATATAAATGTATTTTCTTTTTTGTTACAAGGTTCTGGCCGTCGTTATTCGTACAGGATTTAATACCAGTAAGGGAGGTCTGGTTCGTTCTATAATGTATCCTCCTCCGGTAGACTTCAAGTTCGAGCAGGACTCGTACAAGTTTGTGGAGTTGCTGGCATGTATCGCAAGTATCGGAGTGGTCTACACCATAGTAACTAAAGCAATGAGAGGAGTGCCAGCCAGTCACATAGCATTAGAAGCATTGGACCTCATAACCATAGTAGTACCACCAGCATTACCAGCCGCCATGACAGTGGGTCGTCTCGAAGCCCAGAATCGACTCAAAAATAATAGAATTTATTGTACAAGTCCAAGAGCAATTAACGTATCAGGATCCATAGATTGTATTTGCTTTGACAAGACCGGAACTCTCACTGAAGACGGTTTGGATATGTGGGGCGTAGTTCCGGTTTATTCAAGAAAGTTTCAAGTACCCGTCAAAGATATACGTACACTGCCACTCGACGAAGTATTGATAGGCATGGTAACATGCCATGGGATCACCATAATCGATGGGCAGCTCATGGGAGATCCATTAGATCTGAAAATGTTTGAGTCTACTGGTTGGACCTTAGAGGAACCGGATGTCTCGGACACGTCGAAATTTTCCATGCTGTTCCCAACAGTGGTCCGTCCACCTAAGGGTTCCAAGTACCTGCAAAACGTACCAAATCATCAAATAGTCTCACCATCAAGACAGAATTCCATATCCTCGGACGTTGTCGATAACGTTTCCTTGACGAATCTCGATGGAGCTATAACCAAGTCGACTGTGGATCTAACCGAACGAGGTTTAGAAATTGGCATAGTAAGGCAATTTCCGTTTACGTCAAGTCTGCAACGTATGAGCGTAATTACTAGAACGCTTGGAGCCAACCATTATGAACTATATTGCAAAGGAAGTCCCGAAATGATTCTAAGTCTCTCCAAACCAGAATCCAGTTAGTATTTTAAATAAGTTATTAGTATTATTTGTCCGATAAATAGTACGTCATTTTTTACTATGATACTTGATTGCAGTACCATCGGATTTCGCTTCGGTTCTTCAGGAATACACTTCAGAGGGTTATCGAGTAATCGCGCTTACGCACAGATCATTGAATCGACTTTCATATGCAAAGGTTCAGCGTATCAGTCGTGAGTCGGTTGAGACTGATTTAACTTTCCTGGGATTTGTGATATTGGAGAACCGGCTGAAACCGGAAACGTCACCAGTGGTCGCAGCGTTGAATACTGCCTGCATTAAAACAGTTATGGTTACCGGTGACAATATGCTGACAGCGCTTTCGGTTGCTAGGGATTGTGATATGATCAAACCGAATATGCCAGTGATTGCAGTGGCTGCCATTACTCAACAAAATCAAATCAAGCCTGAGGTTTACTTTACAAAAAGTACGAGTCAGCAGTCACCTATGTCGCCTACTGAACAGGCTGACCTTAGCGAAATGACGGATTTGAATAGTGTGGCAAGTTTGGAAACAATCGAAAGCGGTTCCTTTGCTAACAATCGTTTGGAAAAAGATGGGAATTACTTGTCCGATGAGTATGTAATATTATTATTAAGAATTGAGAATGAATTCTTAATAGATCAATATATATAATTAATCTATATTGTATTTCCAGTGTGCAGCATTCCTGTAACAAGTATGTTTTTTCTCTTACGGGTAAAACTTGGGCCTTGATCAAACAATATTATCCAGAATTAATACCGAAAATAACCACGCGTGGAGCCATTTTCGCGAGAATGTCTCCGGATCAAAAACAGCAGCTTGTCCAGGAACTCCAGTCCTTGGGATACTACGTAGGTAGGTATTGTAATTCATAATTAATTTGAATATTTTTTAATATATAAAAAAATTTTAATAAAAAAGTGTATTATTTTTTTTTAGCTATGGTCGGTGATGGCGCTAATGATTGTGGAGCCTTGAAAGCCGCCCACACCGGAATTTCATTATCCGATACCGAATCATCAGTGGCTTCGCCATTCACAAGTCGTGAAACTAACATATCCTGTGTATTGGCAGTCATTCGTGAAGGACGAGCAGCACTGGTGACCTCTTTCGGAATCTTCAAATACATGGCCGCTTATTCCTTGACTCAATTCATATCAGTGATGCTACTCTACAGCATTGAATCTAATTTGACAGACATGGAGTTTCTCTACATCGATCTCTTCGTCATCTCCATCTTTGCCTACTTTTTCAGCCGTACCGAAGCATATGATGGTCCACTAGTGAAAACGCCACCGTTGACCAGTCTGATTAGTACGGCACCGATTCTGAGTCTTATCACTCAAATAATCATCGCCGGAGGATTTCAATCCACCAGCTTCTGGCATCTGCAACAGATGGAATGGTTTCGTCCGTTTAACTCGACATCATTAGCAGATAAGGACGATGTTGGCTGCACAGAGAACTATACTGTTTTCATAGTAAGTTCAATGCAGTATATCATCCTGGCGATAGTCTTCTCAAAAGGGCGTCCATACAGAAAGTCACTATTTACAAATTACGGCCTCCTGGCATCTTTTATTCTGCTCACTGCCTTTTCAGTGTACTTGGCCGTCTATCCGTTTCAATGGCTAGCTGACAAATTTGAATTGGTACTTCCAAATGATTATGGTTTCCGTTTTATTCTCGTTGCTTACGGTGTTATCAATTTCATTGTGTCGATGTTCATTGAATATTTCTTCGTCGATTATATCGTCTTCAAGAAGCTAAGATATCGCTGGCACAATGTAGACAAATCCCGCAGAAAGTTCCTTGCTATCGAACGTGATATGGCGCGAGATATAAAATGGCCACCTATCTCTCATGAACCACTGCCAGAAGCTGCACCAGATTTACTGATTCGACAAAACGTCACTGAGATCAAAATTGAGAAACGCGTGACCGAACCCCATCCAGAAGACTCGTATCCAAAAGCAACTATAGAGTCCGACCTTGTTGGCGCGAATTTCAAAAGATTTGGATCAGCCCGTGAAGTCACGCTAAATCCTAGATCTTTGTTCGACGATCAAAGAAACACAGTATCCATGCAGACTGTACCCTGCTTTGAAGATCATGAAGTTTATACAAAGCAATCACAAGTGAAGCCTTTGAGCAAGCGAAGACATAATTCCGAATCAGAAAATGGCATCCATCAATATGACAAGATCTACAAGAACCACAATACTGATCCGATAGCAACCCTACCAAGATATCCTATAACCCAACAGAAATTGCCCCAGCCACTGGAGGACTTCAAAAACGTGCTCGTACATAAAAGTGAAGAAAATGCCTTCCGGACGGGTACTCAGAGTGTCCTGGAGTTGGACATCCTGCCATCCTGAGAGGACCCGAAGGGGGTCAGGTCCCTTGTAAAAACGACGTCGATATTCCGGAAAACTCCAATCGATCATAAAATGGTGCTATCACACTCGCGCATTCAAGCAGTATCAATACTGGTCGCGTGAGCCACGAAATATATTAGCATCCGACACAAACTGGTCTCTGAAAATTCTTTGAGACAAGATTATCAAGGTATCATTGGAAAGCTGAATAACAGTTGGCGGAACGTTGACGTGAGCCTACGGTGACATATGCTATGCCAAAGTACGAAATACGTGTCTGTTTTGATCTAGGGTCCCTTTTGACCCAGGCTTTCTTAAGTATTCGAACGTCGGCCCATGAGAAAGTATTATTTATATCAGTCCTCCTAACCTTTTTAAATTTCCTAACTCCCTCCAACTAATTCCCCAGGAATATTACCAGGTTGCTCCCATAGTTGATTAGTAGCAGGATATTTTTTAGTTAAAAATTTAGCCATTTTAAATGAATTTCGTAGTGGACACAGCGATGCGTTTACCCGCGATAACACGGTTACTTAAACGCTCTACGTGAACTACACTAGTGAATTATTGATAACGTTACTTAGGTAGAGATTGCAAATATGTATTAAAGTGATATAGTTCCATATGCTAGACACGTGGAAGTGGTTTAGGTCTCGTAGCAACTTTACATTGCTACAAGGGGCCCCCTTGTGGGTGGGTTAGAAGAATTTACAAAAAATCAATGTGTACTTATATACGCATCTATCTACTTAAAAATGTATCCCGTCACTTTACGGCGATGTAGTTTGTGTTTGAAAAGGATGAAAAGGAAAGAACAAAAAATGCATTAGCTGTTATCGAATAAAGTATATTTGTAACGCATCGCTCGAACGCTTATTGCTGCCAGCTTTTTCTCCCTTCTCCATTTTACATTGCAGTCAGTGGAATACAAACACTCGTATTTTAAAATAACGGGTCCATTATTCTCGTAACAGGATTGCTATGGCTAGAGTATAACTGGTATAACTTATGACCGTATAGCGTACGTGGGATTAATGCAATAGTTTTAAAAAAAGATTTACGGATCTATTACGTCAACAATTTTATACTTCTATACGCATCCTCGCACTTGAATATTTCAATGACGATGGAATGACTTTAGTCGTTTAAAATTTCCCGCGAAAACACTGTCGTTTTATATGTATCTTTATTGATTGCTGGAGGAAATTTATTTCGTGAGGTAATGCAGCTCGTTTAATAGGATTAAGTCTAGTTTATGAACACTCGTAAAACAGTATACTACATAAAGTTATGTCTTGGATAAAATGTCTCGACATTTATTTCGCGTGTTCCCTGCGAAAATGTAATTCTCCAACACAGTATATAACAGGTTTGCGTAACTTGGAAAAAAAAGAAGAAAAAACTTACAGTCTCAACGCATTGCGTGTAGACTGATAAATTTCTTGAAACACATAAATCATGAATTTTTCATTACTCTTATAGGATTTTTAATTATCATCTTTGTAGTAAACGTTGGTTAAATCGGTGCTTGGTACTGATATTTTTTACGTCTTAAATAGGCCTAATGATACTAAACAATAGGCTTATCGCAAACAGAAACCGGTTCCAATCGTTAATAATTGAAACAGTGAAGCAATCACAAAAGTATTTAAATGAATGGAATTTATTGATCAAGGCACACGATAGAAATGAAATAATTGCCGGATAAAATCTTAAGAATTACTTTATTGTTCCAATCGCAAAGATAATCCTGCGTCGTTAATATAAATTGAGGGAGATTAACATATTTTATAATTGATTCCGTCTATTATTCTTCACTTTGTGAACCTGTTTTCTAGATAATGGCCTGTTCACAATCTCAATATACATACTTCCATAATACCTAGATGTAAACCCGGTTTTATGATACATATATATATGTACAGTACGTTGCAAGAATAATGCTACAGTTTCACCTAAAGTCAAACATAACTGAAATACCAGTACCATTCCCTTGTAAAGTGCACTGTACCTATAGATACACCTGCATACTATCAATGTACAAACAAGTACATAACAATGTATACAGATCTTTTAGTTAAAAAAACACGTACTTTCGACACTTGATTAAGATTTTTTAAATTTCAATATATCGATACAGATTTCAATCCATTCTATTGGTATATAAATTTCTATGTACCGCTGTATAATAACGCGGACCCATTAAGTGTATTGACACGAGATAAATATCGTGACATGTATTATATTATGACAATCTGCAGGTTATATCGAAAAGATCACGACTGCGGTAAGGGGCAGGAAATTGTCTAGCGAAGCATATACTAGAGTCCAATACATTATATATTCAATGATAGTATAGTATCTTAGATGCTATCAGAAAATCGTATAACGTATACGGCACATCGTGTATCTCGTATGTTCACGTATTTATTATCTATAACGCTGAATATACACTTTGTGAGTATTGGATTTTGAAATTAACTGTATATCTACTTTTATATACCTATACGGACTAGACGAAATTGTCTTGTATGATTTTATATAAAATCAATTTTATACTCCCCTATATAAATTCATTGCACGGCCACGGCTCACGTCCACATGAGATACGCGCAACGAGTTCGCAATATATTTACGTTTAAATTTATATTACATTTTCATCCTGCTTTCATTTTATAGATTATACAGATACTATATCTATACTGTACTATACCTTAGGAACTAAAAGTATTACGTCTAAAGCAATGCGCATACAGTATTCATTATTGATGACTACGTTTTAATTATAGCTAAACACGCTGAGTATTTTACTGGCAAGATTGAGCATAGATCATCATGATCGCGCGATCGACAATGATCCATAATTAGCTACCTTTGTCGTTTATTGTAATCTAACGGGATCATCTAAACTCCAAATATTCTATATTGACTAGTTAATACATTTTTTTTGGCATTGATAATAATCGATACCGAATGGTAATCGATTTTGCAAAGGAAATTATTATCGAGCTTATCCTATCTACGAGTAGCATTGGATGACTTGCATTATCTATTTCTAATAATGATTATCAATGACTCGCATAGGCTAGATCGTTACCCCTGTACATTGCCTCGATAATTAATTTTTTATTCAATTTCCCACCCCTTGACTCCATCATCGATACGAACTGCTGGTATCTCTTCCACGCTGTGGTGGACGCCATTTCTGTCTCGCTTTCACCCTTCGGCTTTTCCACTTCAATATTTTTCAACGTCACTTCCGCCGTGGTGCAGGTACTTTCGGTTTCAGGAATCATCTGTAACGATTGTCCGTTGAGTATAAAACTAAACTCACTTTATATTATTTCATTAACAAGGAAAACTTGACATAGTCGATTCGTCTAGGTTCACGTGTCAGGCCGTATTTAATATGGGGACATGAGAAAATTGAGCTCAGCCCGAGTACAAGCTATAGGTATATAATGGACGATGACGGATATAGCATAGGAAGTTTCAAGATTACGATCGACACGACCAATGTTTGTAGGATGTATTGTAGATACGTGTTACACAGCGCAACCCCTCGAAATCAATACTCGAAGAGCATTTACACTGTTACTAAGGATTCCCTTATATTACCAGATTCATGCTTTCACAATATGGCGCTGTCACACTAATGACGTAACAAATTCCGGTTTATACGATTCACTCGTAAACGTTTATTGTATTACGTCTAACCATTCAACGAAATGAACGCTGGATCTGTACAATGGAGTAAAGTACACTTGGTATATTCTTAACCGGTGTAATAAATAAACTTTGAAATGTACATTGAAATTTCCCGCCATTATAATCGTATCCTTGAAATTGATCTCTCGGACATTCATTTCGGTTTATGTCATAGAACTGTGGTATTAGGTTATTCTCGCGTATTAACCATAAAGTTATTCTTACTTTGTTTAGCGACTTTCAACTTTCCCACGTAGTCTTATTCCTCGTTTGTACGCTCGCTTTTTAACGGTTTCTTCGAAGCTATTTTATTTTTTATCTCTGCCGTCTTATTTCTCAGACTTCTTTTACTTTTACGTGCCTCAAACGAGCAACGTTCGTACTAACGCACGGACTAAGAGTAACTGAAGAAACGGACGCTAAACATCAGCTGGGGTCGTAGCAACGCCCTCTCCCTGGGGGAACATAAAGTCCACATATGGAGGCCATATGGGGAAGTTGCAGATAATGCAACAATGTCCACTTTCCTATTTACCTGGCTCAACCCTAAATCCCCTTACAAAATAACTGACCCCAAGTGTTTCCGGTCTTCCGTCTAACCTTGATACGAAATTCTTCAAGAACCCTTTAAGCAGTCGACGTAGCGTGAAGTTCCATAGATTTTTGAAAAATATGGAAATTTTTTTTCTTGGGGTATACAATTTTTCTTTTTCAACTGTTATATTATTTATGCATTCACAGGCATGGGGTGGATATTTGGTACTGGGTAGGTAAGTAGGATACACCCTCGACTTTAAACCTTGTTTAAATGAAATATATATATATATATATATATATATATACACACACATATATATTATACGATATGTATATACGTGTAGCCATATGGGGGCTACGGGTCTATTGTGTAACGTTCATGGAATTAAGTAAATTGGCTGAATTGCCACATCCGAGAATCGTGATACCTCATATGAGTCTTGTAGCAATGCAAGTACATTGCGTAACCATAATATATTCAAGCTTCATATATTTTTCATATGGTTTACATACTTTGAAAGACCATTAAAAATAAGTAATCGAGTGGTTCCTGGGATAAGAATCTTCTTATTAGTCTCGATCGATTTTTTTTTATTATCTCCGATGCACAGAAATTCCATCAGCATAGAAACGACTCAATTATCAGTATTGGCGCTAGATTGATCCGGTTGCTCATTGAAACTTTTATGAGGAGCCAGAAAGTCTTGGAACAAGGAAATAAGTAATCAGTTCGTTATCATTTAAGTCGGATGATTAATCAATGTCTTCGCAGAAACGAAGAAAGATTTTTATCTAATTATCCCTATGACGAAACTATATAAATTATTTTATCACCGTAGCAGTTCGATTGTAAAAAAAAAAGAAATTCAATGCACACAGATTTTGATATTTTCGGATTACCTGTGTGTTAATTAAATTCAGATCACTCTTCGATCTAGAATCAATTTCCATAGATCCAAGAGCGTATAGGTAATTAACCAAGTTAGGAATTAAACTGATCGGCTAACCGTGTTATATGTAAATTAGTCTTTGGTAAGTAGACGATATATAGAAGCAAATAAAAAAGACTCTATCGCCTCGACACTTCAATCAAATACAATCGCGCTTATGCATAGGTATTGATCATTTGTTCCAGTGTCACATTAAAGTACTATGATTTCATATATAATAGAGAAATCGGAACAATGATGTATCTCGTTATGGGAGAACGTTTTGTTCGAGGGCGCGTGCACCGTAAAGGCACACGACACCACAGCTGCCGGAAGTACATCTGCCGGAATTACTAACCGTACCAAACAGATCGATCCACTTTGAAAATATACCTCAAAAAGCACACGGTGAATATCACATTGAAAAGGTGGTTAATTCGTTAAATTACGCTAACCGTCACTTTCCCGTAATCAAACGCACTGATAAAACGACTTCCGGTTAGTTTGGGTTAGAAAAGAGGAAAGGTGAAAATTCGATTTAAAAAACTGAAATTTTTTTTTTTTTTT